TGAACACAAATGATAGCACAACCATATTCCGCTGGTATTTCTGGCAGGGAGGTGTTATACCCCACTAAACTAAAGGTCTGCAAGTGTGAAAGCAGGAAAGATGTATAATAATAATAGGGTTATTATAACCTCATAGTACATGTATATGATTGAGTACATCAAATAGTAGCATATATATACAATACATTACCTAGATTTGATAAGATGGAATCCTGATCACATCCCCAGTCAGACTGAAGACCTGCTGAGACAACCACTTTCCTTTTCTTTTTGAACACATCAGGTACAATGCGCTTTGATCGCTTCATAGTTTCCTATTACACAAAATCAAAGAAAATATTATTCATTGAACATGAAAAATAACCACACAAAACACATTATCAGCAGACCTTGCCTTTTAAAAATGGCTGGAGATGAAAAACACCTCTCCTGTGTTATGGGAGTTATTTTAATTTGTAAAATTGAAACAAAAATTGAGAAAATGTATTTAGTAAAATTACTTCGGAAATATTGGAATTGTCGTTACCAGTACGAAATTTACTCACCAGTTTCACAGTTACGTATTTTTTGTAGACTGATCAATAGTTTATAGTATGATTGTATACTTTCTAGAAAGCAACAGCTGTGGTTGGCTGGTGAAAGTGCCTATGGCAGGGCTCCAGAAGGAGTACCTACATGTTATGCAAATTTGTTTTAAATTATGCTAATTTATTCATGACGTAGCAGTTTCTGTGCTCATGAATATTCATTAACTTGTGGATCAATACATTTTAAAAGGGGCGATATATTATTTTGGGGGGAAGAGTTAGAAAGGGGGATTAGCAATCCTTAGGGGGTCAATTCAAAAGAAGGGACCCATTTGGAGAGCAGCATTGATTCTTGTGTCTGTTGTTGCACGTGACCTGCAGCTGTCTATCATATCATGTCTTGTAGGAGTGTCCTGTCCGTGATTCGAACTTGCAATCTTTGAGTTCCCAGCGCACTGTCTTTTCCACTGTACCACGAGTGTCTTCACACAAATGATAGGATTTAAGTCCTACTTATAGGATCAATGTTTTCACTAGCATTCAAAAATCGTACTAACCGTACTGGATTCGAACCAGCGATCTCTCACATTGCCTACATTGTACA